CTGTTACAGGATTGTGCAGGAATGTTGGTCCACTCATCTTTGCAGAATTGTTGTAATTCAGACACATACTGATTAAACCAGAGTTAAGTTATGTTTTAACAGGGGACGACGACGACACTTTTTTTCCCTTAATAATAGAAACCTTCCTTTAAAAACTGCATGTTGTGTTATCTTTGACTAATATTTAAATTTGATTGATGATCTGAAACCTTAAAGTGTGACAAACGTGCAAAACAATGAAAAATCAGGAAGGGTGCCAACACTTTTTCACACAACTGTATATGAGTAGCCAGTGAGTAATATTTATGACTGTGAGTGGCACTTCTGCCTTCTCCTTGCAGCTCCTCCATTCAGAAAACATCTTGTATTCTATTCAAAATGTACAAGGTGTCCTGTGATTGGACAAGGGGAGATTGTGATGTTCATACACCTCTTGTCCAATCACAGAATGCTTTGTATCCTTTGAAAAGTATTAAAGTTTTCTGAATGGAGGAGCTGTGCAGATAGCGGCATGCTGTGATAGCTGTGCTCCTGCCCCATCTGTCAGTTTCAACGCCTAGAATTTGGGGTTCACATTGCCATCAGAGGCTGCATTTCAATAACATTTTTCAAGAAGGAAGTAGGAGTCACCAGTGAGGCCGCACACCATTAGAGCTACCCTATTGGTACCCAGCTAATGCCACAGTGAACTTTTTTCCCACACTTCAGCTTTAATATAATACAAAAAAGCAAAAGACTCACCGCTCCAATTGCCCCAGACTGCAGATCAATACAGACATCGGGTGCAGGCTGCAGTGTGCTCCCACTTGTCCAACAATATCTCTTGTATCAGCCACACGAAACCGAGGTCTATAAATATCCAACTTTATTGTTGGAAATTCCATGCAAAGTTCAAAATACAAGGTATGCACCACCATAATATCTCTCCCACTCCAACACCCCTCACACGTTTCACCACCTGGACTTAATCATAGAGGTTATGCCCTCTATTACTACCTCCTATGATTAAGCCCAGGTGGTAAAATGTATGAGAGGCGTTGGAGTGGGAGAGATACTATGGTTTTGAACTTTGTATGGAATTTACAACAATAAAGTTGGATTTTTATGGACCTTGGTTTTGTGCGGAGAGATATTAATGTAATACAGTTACTCACAAAAAAAGGAAATGCTTCACATTACATCTCCACCACACTTAGGGAAGTGCAAATCATGTTTCTTCAGAGTGCAACACGAAGTTACAAAATAACACAGATCAAAAACCCCAAATATGTCACTTTACAGGCTGTTGCTGCTTCAATTAAAATATGCAGGTGTCAGCCAGGTTCTTAAATATAACCAAACCTATTTATTTATACAATATAAAAAAAATCACTAAAAATCACATCCTGTGATGACCTCTATCTGATATCCTAACCCTTTGAAAATCTCCTCTCATTCAGCATATGGTAAACTATACAACATTGTGCTGAAGGCGTTTTATGTAGTTTGTTCAATTGCAAAAGTAGCCACTTTGCATATGCAAGTAAAACATTCATTAATTCCATCCGGCCCCAGGTAGAATAACAAATGATTCCCCTCTCACTGTAGCTTTGTACTTAGCGAGTATAGCAGTCTCAATCACTCTCGCCCGATCCCTGTTAAGGTGTTCATACAACGTAACCGGCCGAAATCCGCACAGCGTGTGTGGCTGTCGGCACCCTTTTGATCGGCATCCCTCGATCAGGTGATCGAAGGAGCTGGTCGGAAAATGTTCTATCGATCAGAGCCGGCAGCCAATGAGCTGCCCGCTCTGGTCGGGTTTTCCGACAGGTGGGGCGGCACCTGTCATAATACAGTGTAAACAACGGGATTCCTGGATCTACACGCTGTTAGTTTTTGATAGAGGAATCAGATCTATTTTTTTTTCTCTCGTTCAGCCCACGGATTGAACGAAAAAATAGATAGGTGTATGGTCGGCCTTGGACTCCATGTTGTAGATCTGGAATCTGCCTCAGGGGCCAGCAACGTCTAACGTACTCAAAGCAGTTGTAAAAGTTACATTAGCTCTCGCCATCGCTCGCAGATCCTGGTTCACCATTGTGTGCGATGGAACCAGGATCTGCCTATGGCTGACTAAGTACAACATACCGAGAGGAAGTATAGGAGTCTCAGGAACTCTCATCTGATCTTGGTAAGACCATACTGTATATGATAGAACCGCATTGAGGTCAAGTATAGACGTTTCAATAGCTCTCACCCGATACCTGTTATACGGTATGCTGTACAACCAGGTTTTGCCCCCCTCCCTCGGGCCCAGCAAAGACTAACGTATTTTGGCAAGTATTAAAGTCTTAATAGCTCTTACCTAATTCCTGTTAGCTGGCCATAGGAGTCTAGGTAGCTCATATAATTCTGATTAGCCTATACTGTATATGAAAGAACTAGGATTTGCCCCTGGGGCCAGCAAAGTCTAGCGTAAGGAGAGCAAGTATAGGAGTCTCAATAGCTCTCACCTAAACCCTGTTAGGCCATATGCCTAACAGGGTTTAGTGTGCCGCAAGGATATATTCGGTTATTTTATCCAAGTCTCAGACTTTTTCTTTTTGGTCTGAGTCTTCACTTTCTAGATTTGTGTGCTCTGAACTATTAATGTAAATGAATACACAGGTGTTCGAAGTCCTAACCTGGCCCAGGCTTCTGTTTCAGATCGTGAATAGTTATCAGCTGGACAGAGATGAGCCCCATGGCTGCCTTGATAACACAGTATTGTGTAACGGCACAGAAGTCTGTTTGCTGTGATCTTATCAAGCATGGCTGCTGTCTGTGGCATCTGGTGACAGGGCAGCTCTTCTAAATTACCCCTTGCTGGACAAAATGTATGCATTTTATGAACAGCGTTGAGTTTTGCAGTGCCAAATAAGCATCTGCTGTTTTTTTGACTGGTAGAAGGATATTTTTTGTTAGTCGCTTCAGTAGGAGCTCACTTGCATTATTACTTTACCCAATGTTGCCTGTGGAAACCGTTTTGAGAAATATGATGCCTTATATCAGCAAAAGTGTGTGATCGCTTGCTACCCTGAAACTCAATCCTGCCTTCCCTTTCCTCCTGCCTGGGACAGAGTAAAGGCATCAGATACCTGCTTTTTGATATCTGCAATTTTGGAAGAGAGTAATAGTATTGTTATTATTATTATAATAATTCGAGATGTATAAATCTCCAGCAGTTTACACAGCGCATTACAAGATAAAGGGAGGCAATACAGTTACAATTCCATACAAGCGGGTTTGAAGGACCCTGGTCATGAGAGCTTACAATGTAAAAGGAGGGGCATGCTATACTAAAAGGAATAACTGTGAGGGATGAGCTGAAGTAGAAATACAGTTATTAGAATAAAGTGGGATAGGCTTTCATGAAGAGATTAATTTTTTAAGGGATTAATTTGTCTAATGGTGGACAGAGTAGGAGCTAGCCAGACAGACTGGTGTAGGGAGTACCAGACCATGGTAGAGGCTCTGGAGGTGTCCTGGAGGACAGCATGGAAGGAGGTGACTGGGGAGCACAAGGTCATTGAAGGAGCAGAGTGGATAGTTTGGTTAATATTTTGAGATGAGATGGATGATGTAGCCAGGGGGAGAGCTGTAGATGACTTTGTATGTTGTTAATATTTTGAATCCTATACGATGGGCTACTTGAAGCCAGTGGTGGGATTGGCCAAGAGGGGCAGTGGCCACTGAATGATTGGTAAGGTGGATTTAGCTTTACAGCAGCAATTATGGCAAAAAAAATTCTCTTGCCACCTGCTGATGAAATCTGCAACTGCCATTTAGCTCATAGAAAGGAACTCAATCCAAAATGTATTTTTCTTCTCATTTGGGTCAGTGTATGGAGCTGCCGTTGTCAGGTTTTCTTTATTGCTGCCTGTGTCTCCATTGAGAAGATTCTCTATCACAAGGAAAGACGGTGAGAGTTTAAAAATCATCTCCTTTGTTGGTATTCTGTGGCGCCATCCACCATTTGTTCCAGCACCCAACTAAAGGCGTGCATCAGTATGGTGTCTGAAGGTGATATAACGGCAACCTTACAATAAGGACACCTGTGTCAAAGGTAAGCTTTTTGGTTCCTTTGGGGAGATTCTACTTATTTTCTGTTCTGTATGTAGGACAGGACGTGAAAGAAGATCTTCCCAAAGAGAACACAGGCATCAATAAAAACATATTCCTTCATTGCTCAATTCCACCTACAACTGAACTGAGGCAGATCAGATTCCCTGTGTGTTGCTGCAGAAAAGGATTTCCATTTTTTGTAAAGGCCTTTTACAGTTTACACCAACCTTTTCTCAACCAGGGTTCCTCCAGAGGTTTTTCTGACCACTGAGCTATTTGAGACTCTTAAGATAAATAACCACAGACAACAATGATCTGTTTAGCTTCTTTCCACTGACCACCAATGTAAGGAGCATTCTTCCTACTGATTACCAATGTAATGGGGCCCTTCTCACACTGACTCTCCCAATGACCATCAGTGTAAGGGGGGTCCTTCTCCTACTGCTCACCAAAGAGGGCCTTCCATCAATGGAAGGGGGTCCTTCTACTGTTTACCAAAAGGGCCCTTCATCACTGAGGGAACACTACGATTCTCCTTGTCTGCTTTTATTTTCTGGCCATTATTATTATTTGTAACATTCTGATACAAATAATTTTTGCATATAGAGCAGTCATGACTTTTTGTTTTAGGTTTATTTTTATATTATAATTGACTATTTACGTTTATATACCATAAGCTACAGATCTTGTAATTATTAGCAGGGCTTTTTTCAAGACCGGAGAGCCTTATTTTAAGGGTTTCCCCATGTTAAAAAGGTTGAGAGAGGCTGCTTTAAACATATCAATTCTGAGGGTAGCTGCCAGCTAAAATATATATTTGAGTCTATCAAGGGCCAGAAGTTTAAGATCCTGAACTGTACACAATAAACTCTAGTCTGCTTACAATTGTGTTCTATGTTTCTCTTCTTTCCATACAGATGGAAAAACTGGTGGGTCAGAGGCATCCTAACATTAGCCATGATTAGCTTTTTCTTCATCATCATCTACTTGGGACCTATCGTGCTCATGATGATTGTAAGTGCTTTTTCTTGTTTTTCTTATTTCATCTTTTCCTTAAACTAAAACTATTTTACAATATTTTATTTTTATTTTTTCTGCAGGTGATGTGTGTACAGATTAAGTGTTTCCAGGAGATCATTATGATTGGATACAATGTCTACCATTCTTATGACTTGCCTTGGTTCCGGACACTTAGTTGGTGGGTAAATGACGCAATAAACCTAATCAATAAAATTTAAATATAATCATTAATATATAAACGTATTAAACAATAAAAATCTGCAGCTTTCATTGACATAACACTCACTAATCCTGCCATTATGGCCTTTCTCAGCCACTTTTTGTTATGTGGTGACAATGCTCCTGTGTTACCATTCTGCCACATGTGTTTCTATTGGAGAGTATAAGCTCCTGAGCCAATGCTTAATGGAAGGCATGCTTCATTATTGTCACTATCAGAAAGTCCACCCTGAACAATGGTGTATTGCTGCCTTTGAAGCAAGTTAATGTACACAGGAAGTGTACGAAATGCGCAGGGGGTGATCAGCAGCACTGAGATGCAATAGATCGGAGGAAAAAGGCAAAACAAAGTTTTTTTAATTTAACCCCTTCATGACTGAGGCCTTTTTTTTCATTTTACGTTTTTTGTTGTTGTTATAGTAATGCGTGTCGTTTACTGTGTGTACTGTATGTCCTGCACCCCCTCCTCCCTGCACTTGCTAGCTACCTAGCTGAGTACGTGCAGGAAGGTTTCTTTTTAGGGGGCGGAGCCTCTATTCACGCGGCAGAAGCTTAAAGGGTGGAGCGGAGGCGCTGGAGTGTGAAAGGTAAGTTTTCCAGCAGACATTACAGTGTGGGGGGTTTGGTGAAAGACAGACTGACCAACATTGGGGGAGGCAGAGACTCACACCTAACTATGTTGTGTGGGGGTGCAGAGGTGAGAGTCACACGACCTATGCTGGGGAGGGGGAGGTAAAGTGTGTGTGTAGATGCTGCTCTAAAATCTTCACTGTTGCGTGTGTGTGTAAGGGCTTCTTCACACCAATTGCGGTGCGTTCCAGAGTGGTAGCTGCTGGAACGCACCACAATCGCTCAAAAAACTTCCCCCTGCGCTCTGGAAGTCAGTGGCACCGCAGCCACGCCCCCCTACCCGCATTGCGATCGGAGGGGTGGCAAAACATTGCCTGCGTTCTGTTCTACTGCAAACACGGAAAATGCTGCATGCTCTATTTTTTTGCGTTTGCAGTGGAACAAAATGCAAGCATTGTTCTGCCACCCGTCCGATCGCACTGTGGGCAGGGGGGGGGGGCGTGGCTGCGGTGCCACTGACTTCCAGAATGCAGGGGGAAGTTTTGTGAGCGATTGTGGTGCATTCCAGCAGCTACCACTC